CTTTGTCGCCACCGTTTTACATTATGTTGCTTCGCTAAGTAGACGTGGATTGGGAAGTGAACATTGTAAAGTATGAGTGACAATGTAGTAAATAGGACCTAAGATAATTAATGAACTACCTGGATGGAAACTGGATGGAATGGTGGTGAAGTACAGTGGGGCACGCATGGGAAATCCATGGTGGTGCACCACTAGTGGCCCGTCCGCTCAGCCTCAAAGAGACCAATTGTATTCTCATGTCTAGAAGCTTACGTGTGCAGCCGCAAGCCAATATGGGCTCTGGCTTAGTTGAGTAGATAGTGTGACCCCTTTCGGGATAGGCTAGCAGATGTAGAATAAGTAGGTGTACCGGCCTATCCGTGGGTTAGGGGAAACATTTTCGAAAGGCTATGTCTCGACCCTCCGATCATGAATGTGGTCGAGTCTTGTGGGGAAAAGTGCGCAACCTCTGCAGAGTGTCAACCTAATCAATTAGTCGTGTCCCTGGTTACGGACAATTTGAGCATCTAGTAGTGGAAATGCTGGGAGATCTCATCACCTTAATTAAACAGTTGGGTTTATAAGTGATAACTTTGAGAACGGATTGGGTTGGGTTTGCCAACTCATCCTATACTATTTTCATAGTTGTAGAACAATTACTTTGCAATAGGGAAAAACTAGCTTTATGCAAAAAGAACTAAACTTAGAGATTTCCACCAGCCAAATTGCATGTACAAATAGGTTCATTTTACTCTCAATGTGACTTGCCAGTACATTCAATGTACTGATCTATATGGCTGCAACTTATCACGTTGCAGATGTATCCGACGAGGATTAAGGTGCGATAGGTCGATGTTCTACACTCAACCTTGCTCGTGGAGGTGGACCCATTTACTTCTTTGCTTCCGCAGTATTTGTTTATTCGGCTCTATGCCCTATTATGTAATAAATGTATTGCTCCTGGACTATCGATGTAATAAAGAGATGTGTGTTATTTCTGTTATTTCATCGAGTACTGTGTGTACTAGCAAGTCGATTCAGAGACTAGCACGGTAAGCACAGAGACTTCGACTCTTACCGGGTCGGGTCGCTACAGGCATATGCTGATCATGACAATTATATCATTTTATATTTTTAGGCCAGCAATTCTCCATGTTGTAATTATGACAAATCTCTGAAAATGCATGGCAGTTTTGTGACAAACTTTTTATACATCATGTATTTTTTCTATACTTAGAACATGACAAATCCTTATACACCAACACAACAAATTAATCTATTTTCGCATGACAATTCTGTAGCATTCGCAGAGAGTGATTTTTTTTAACAAACTAAAACAATTTGTTCGTTCCTACCTGGCTGGGGGAACGACCGTTCGCTTGGTTTACCCCAGGAAATGTCGTATGTGTATTGACATCCATCACTTTCTTAATTAATGATAGAAAGGATACTACAATGTCGTCTGTCATATGAAATCCTATGAGTAGTTGGAGGACTTTCTTTCGTTTCTAATAAAAAAAACTTTTTCCTTGATATCTCAAAAAACATAAATCCAAACCCATAATGATTGGGAATTTTTTTAGACAAGTTTCAATTCATTGTGCTACACATTATTACTCCCTCCGTTTCTAAATATAAGTTTTTGTAGGGATCAGACCACATACGGATGTATCTAGATGCTTTTTTTTACGGATTCACTCATTTTACTTCATATGTGGTTTATAGTGGAATCTCTCAAAAAACTTATATTTAGGAACGAAGGAAGTAGTGAATACTTCGATTCCAAGAAACTTATACTCCAAGAAAATATATTTTTACTCCTCCAAGAAAACATTTTGGTTTAGTTTCGCTCCAAGAAAACTTAACTTGTGCAGAAATCAGACGGTTCGTATCTAACACGGGCCCAAATCCTACTGAAATAAAACCAAGGCCAGAGAGGTAGCCCGAAGCCCGAACAGACGCGCAAGGCAAGCAGCCCATAAGCAGACGCTGGTCGAATCAGACTATACCAAGCAAGAAACAGAAGGGGCCGTGGGGAACGGAGGAGAGCGGCGGCGGCGGCAAGGGAGGAGAAGCGATGGCGAGGGGCGATAGCTGCTTGGCGCGCATCGGCGCCGGAGTCGCCATCGGCGGCGCGGTCGGCGGAGCCGTCGGTAAGCTCCTCCCTCCCTACCTAAAACCCTAAACCCTAGCTGGCCCTGTGCCAATCCGCCCGGTGCTGGTTCGATTTCGCTTCTAGGCTTTGGTCAAAATCCGTTCAGGGCCAGGACTGATTCGTGGGGTTAGTTGCTGATCTGCGACATCCGCCTAGTAGGTTCGGGCTGTGATGTGGGCGCATGAGCTGTTGCGTCTGGTAGGAAATCTTGTTGTATGCTAAAGTAGGAGATTTCCTCGCGGTGGAAGCAGACGTCTGTGACGACTTGATGCTGAACATCTGAAGGCTGCTCGCTCAAGTGCTGGGCTTTTATTGTCGACCCCTGTCATAGGTGTTCGACTGGTGGTGGTGGTTAGGAATTCGGGCCACTGGTGAGAGAAGATGACTAGATCTTCTTGGTTCCTTTTTGACGAGTAATATTATAGGGTCATTGATGCTAATGTGAAGTGCGTGACAGATTAGAATATTCAGTTTCTGGCCTTAGTTACAGTTCTGGGCTTGATAAGTGATAACAAGAAGTTAAAGACTTTTGATGTTGTTTGGATGGTGTATCTTGGCAACTGACGTTGACAAAGTAGTAATAGCTCCACTCCTGCTGTTTAACAATGCTCGTGGAAACACAACAGGTTAGATATGCTGCTTAGTCATGCTTTTGGACATTGGAGACATAACTGGCTGTTTCTGCTGAACAATTAGCGCTCTTATGGATGCTCTCAGTATTCTTAGTTTGCTCCTTCAGCTTAACAATTCTAGAGCTACTCGCCTACTAGCAATCTTTTAATGAGCTGCTTATTGCTGTTTTTTGGTTTGTGTTTTCTTCTTAGTTTTCGGAACTTCAAGTGCTAGCGTAGGATATGAAATTAATATCATGGAATTAATGGACATGTTCCCCCATTTTGTGCAGGTGCTGTGTATGGGACTTATGCCGCTATCAGATTGAGGGTAATCTTTTTTTTTGCTTTTTTTAATACCTGAGCTACTTTGTGGTAGCACGCCACCACTTGTTTTTTTGGTCTGTATTGTCATGCCATACTTGATGTGTTAAAAGTTCAGAAATTACTAGTTTATATGGTGCTCAAAATCAGTATATTAGAAATTTAGCGATTGTTCTGCTCTTTATCTTTTATAATCACAACTCTTATCTTTCCACCTCAGCCCACCTCATATCTTTTTTTAAATGATTAACTTCAAACTGCCTGCGCAAGTCAACAGTTAGTATTTGAAACTTGAAAGCTTTCTTTAATTAAACATGCTACTATTCAACGCATAACACACTGAAAACTTACATCATAATCCTGAAAAAAAAGGCAAGTAAGCATTAAATTTACCAGGTTATAATTTGCTGTATGAAACACGTCACTTCACCTGCATTGTTTTAGCTGATTTAATTTAATCTACGAGCAAATGGGTCATTGAATTTGTGAGTGCTCACCGGTGTGATCTGATTTTGTTTCAGGTCCCTGGGCTGCTGAAGATCAGACACATCGGACAGGCCACCGTTGGCAGCGCTGCGGTATTCGGGCTTTTCTTGGGAGCTGGGAGCTTGATACACTGTGGGAAAAATTACTAGATCGCGTCAAGTTACCTCTGGTTTTACTAGGTTTTAAAGGATTGCCTTATCTTAGGTAAAACATTTGTTTGATCTTGAAGGAACAGTGGAGTTCTGCTACTATTTACTCGGTCCTGGTTTTTGATATGTTTGCCCTACTGTTGATGTGGAAATAAAATCTTTCATTGTCTGTATGAGAATTAAGTGGTGAAAGCATGATTCATGAGAAAAGAACGTATTGTTGTATTGAAGTCACTTTGTCTTCTTAGTAAAAGAAATAAACCATTTTCTCCTTGACATTGAACGGGGTGAGGGGCAGCTGACGTTTTGTTGATGTTGTGTATATCAGCTACTCCCTCTATTTACAAATATTCCTAAGATGTTCTGGACTACATGCATACCAAAAAACACCAAAACATGTCTATATGGAGGGAGTACTAAATCCAGACAACAGTTGCGTCTTGTTCTAGAGGTCTTGTTCTTTTTAACTTGGTCGTTTACTTATAATTAAACAAATTGTCTGTTACGTACTCCCTCTGTCCCATAATATAAGAACGTTTTTCAAGCGACAATCAAGCTCATGTGTGACTCCATTTACTTCCGGGACACAATGCTTGATTGTCGCCTTGCCGAACAGGCTCAAGCTGCTGGCACTCGTCGGTAACCACAGCTCCTGTCGCACAGTAACCTGAGGGGTTCAAGATTGTTTGCACGATGTCTGTTGAATCACATTCGATCACAAGAGAGAAAAATACAGATTATTCGCAAGCTCGAGCCCCTTCATCAATAGGCAAATGCCTCCATGGCCGGGGCATATCCATAGCATGTTCCACAGCAGTTCGAGGCCGCAGGCCGCAACGAACGCCCTGCCACAGGCGCCGGACCCAGCATCCACGTGGAAACTAGCGTAAGATTGTTTAAGCCTTGTTCGGTTTAATGCACGTAGGATTGAGGGGGACTTTGACTTGCAAGGAATTTAACCCCCCTCGACCCCTTCAAACCTCTCCAAACCAACAAACTAAAGTAATATACACACAGCACTGTTTCAGCCTATCAATTCTACTACTCCCTCCGTACTGAAATATATGTCGCTAGAGTAGTTGAACCACAGCTACTCCAGCGACATATATTTCAGTACAGAGGCAGTAGCTAGTAGTACAATCTTATGTACAGAGACATGAGATATCCATTATGTCTTGTTATCTGCCGTTTCTAAAATATAAGGATCGACTGAACTATGACTACAACACACGCTGGTTACAACTTCAGGACTCTTACATTCAGTTTGGAATACTTAAACTATGGGGTTATCTGCCTTCACAAGCCGATCAGGGCACGAGGTCTGTGCTCGATGGTCAACAAAGGCATACCAGACTGTGAAACAGCTCTTACGAACCCCATGTTAGCAGTCAAAGTGGGAGCACGCCAGTGGTCACCTGTACCAAAAACAACCTTGTTCTTCATGGCAAGCTTCCTTGTTGTTGGAAGATCCATCATACGTACTGAAGGACTGTCTGGCACAATTCTGCAGGTCCAAAAGCACTTGCTAAGTATGCGGTAGATGACTGACCGGGACAAACAGAATTCAAGACTATTCACATGCATAAAATTACTGTACATGACAATAAACGATAAACAGAGACAAATACAATTTTCTAGTTTAGCAAGATAATGCTATATGTATGGCTGCATATTTGTGCAACCAAAGAGAAAGCTTAGTTGATCAATAAGCCAACAATGAGACAAGAATACCAACCTAAAGCTACATGAATACTAACAGTCAGCAAGGTGAAATGAGTCAAATGACCATCATGAGATAAAAGGGTGAACACACTGTATCCTTCTTCCAGTACCACAGCACAATGACGGGATTGAAATGGAGAATGGAAATACCAGTCTGATAATGTAGGGTTCACAATCTCATTTATCTCCCAATATATTGCTCTCTAGCTTACATATAGTGACACAGAAATACAAGTAAAGGTATGAAAAGAAAGGGCCTAGTCAACAACCAAGAAAACAATTTAAGAAGCAAGCTTGTCGACACCAAAATATTTGATACAAATAGATTGGAGTAAATCCCCTTTACGTGAAGTGAAGTAAAAATAAGAAGGGAAAATGACTGCAAAATTAGAAGCAGAAAGAAACTATGGAGTAAATCTGCTGCAAAACAAAGGCAGACTATGGAATCAAAACTGAAAACTAGAGTTGATACTAGACACATAAAGGGCCATTAGTGTTATCTAATACTCCCTCTGATCCCAAATGTAGGTCGTTACATGAACTTGACCAGATAAAGGCAGGTCATGTAATAAACATTGAAAACTAGAGTTGATGCTGGAGAATTAAAGGCCCATTAGAATTACTAAATATAAAGGTGTTATGGCCGCATAACTCACAGAAACAAAGTTGTATAGGAAAACTCACATAAGTTGTTTCAGTAATTGACTTGCTCTTGTTTTCTCCTCTGGCCCACCACACATTGAAACAATTTCGTTGAACTCTGACTTAACCGCTTCACATATGATACATTTCTTTCCGTCCACTGCTTTCCCCAGCTCAACAAATATTGGAGACTGGAGCTCGGATTGCGCCTAAAAGAAAGTATGAATACACCCTATTAAGTTTCAAACAAGATTTACAGCTCCTGTTGGCACATAGTCCTCTACTTGTGTTTTCCAATAAACAGGTTTCACTCATTGCAATAGATACTATGTACTACTTCTGAATTGTGCTTATCATGTTCTGTGGACTATAGCAATATATGTTGTAGTATATGCACTTTAATATTGTCGATATTTACAGTCAAAATCTATCAAACAACATTAGAAACTCGAAGTCAATTGTAACTAGATGAACTAGATTATTTATGAATACTCTTCTAGGTTGAGAATCAAATGTTTACAAAGCACCTGATCCATGACGAACTTGTAGTTGCACTTGAACCTGGCCCTGGTCTCCGCCACCGGCGCACCCATCAGCTTCCCCACCCCGCCATTGCTGATACCTGATACTATCGCAATAAGAGCCGTTGTGTCTAGATTCACCATCTCAATGGAGTTCATCCTCATCTTCCCCATGAAGTCAGCAAACCAACAACCCTCCAATTGGTCACCGCTGCCCTCCTCCACCTCCTCTACGTCTCTGCGCGGTGGCGGTAACAACACTTCAGCATCACCATCCACCACTTCAATCTCGAACGCCCTAAAGCGCCTCATCTCCTCATTGGGGTGGAAGCTGACGGTAACCCAGCCGTCCTCCTCCTTGTCGTCCTCGGAATCGCCAACGAATTCCGCTAGCAAGTCGATATCTACGGCCCCGAACTCCTCGGCGAGCCCCAACACGATGTCCGCGCCGACGCCACGGGCGAAGGCGAGTAGCAGCTTCTCGGGGCGGGTTGCCGGCGGAGCGGAGCGCGCGGCATCCAGCACGGCAGCGACGCGGGAGCTGATGCCCTTGCGCGGGACCCACTGGAAGCCTGAAGGGTTGCGCGCGGAAAGGAGCACCCACGCGGGGCGGGAGCGGAAGGCGCAGGCGAAGTCCACGCCCGGTAGGGGCGAGAGGCGGGACGGCGAGCGCACGGCGGGGTGGGTGAGGAGGAGGTGGAGCGCCCCGAGGTGGGGCAGGTTGGAGGAGAGCGGCCTGGCGGGGTCGGGGTGGTTACTCGAGGCAAGGAAGCGCAGCTCGGCGGCGACGAGGCGGAGGAGGGAGCGCAGAGCGGGGTGGCGCGGTAGGGACAGCGACGCGGCGAGGCGATCGTGCAGCGCGCGGCACCGCGCCCGCGCGAGCTCCAGCTCGGTGGGGCAGGCGGCGGCGGGAGGCTCGGCCATTTTCGCTGCGTCGCTCCTCTGCTCCAGGAACAGGAGCCGGCCGGATTCGCGTCGAGTTGGGGAAGAACCAGGCGTGGGTCGAGGCGGGCCGGCCCAGTTGCGGCGGAGGCCTTGGACCTAGTTGCCGACTGGCCCAAAAGAGCCGTCCGTTCTGGCATATAAAAAGGCCAGGAATGTAACCGTTGGGCTCGGGTTATTTTGAACCGCACTGGCATTTGGTCTCTTTCGGCCGCTTCCCCCTCTTCTCCAATAGTCCAATTCCCACCCCCCAAACGACGAACTCCCGCCGCCGCCGGCCGCTCCCACGGCGAGCTCGCCCGCCCGAAGAGCCGTACCTCGCTAGATCCGAGACCGCACGGGCTTCCGGATCTCGGTTCGCCGGTACGTTTCTCTGGATCTACCCCTCTCCTTGGTTTCGCGCATACCGATTTGGTGCCGCCACCATCCATGTGTGCTTCGTCTCGTCGATTCGGTGTGTCCCGTCGTTTATGTTCCGTGCGTTCTGCGGGGTGGTATGTTTTGCGAGCGCCATGCCTTGTGGTGGCCGGAGTCGCGCGGTGATTAGTCCGGCCACTGCTCAGGCTATGCTGTGACGCGCCGTGGAGAAACGCCTAGGGTTTGTGGTATTTGTCAGATTCCGTTTAAAATTGGAATGCTACGCTAAATTTCCCTGTCTAACTTTTGAATCTTACTCTGGGGGAGCAACAGGTAGTTGTTGATATTTTCTCTCTCTATTGTTCAGCTCTGGTTGTTCGTCTAGTGATGTTTTTGCCTGATAAAGTTGTAGTTCGTAGTGGATATGCCCAGATTTTTCTATCCTCTGGTTAACCTCGCAAGCCGTCGCAAAATTTGGTACCAATAGAACTTGGGCACTTATCATATTTAGTGGGTGTTAACCAGGAGTTTGGAACCTCCTAGGCTAGAACTACTTGCCAAAATGCGTGCAAGGTTTGGCTCACACCACAGACCACACAAGAGGAAGTTTAGGGTTCCTCTGTTCTCTCACTCCATAGTCACATCTCTCTTCAATCCTTTCCTCTCTGCTTCAGAGTTTTCTGTTAAGCTCACAGCAAAACCAAACCCCTAGTTTTTTAGAACTTATATACCAAACCCCAACGTTCCTCTCTCCCATCCTTGCTGCAGGTGGGCTAGCATAATTTGGTGCTAGTTTACATTTCAGATATATTTACACAAGTAGAGACTTTGCATCTGAAATTCTGAATTTTTGTTTGTAAAGATGGTTTGTGTTGGAGCCATGAGGACTAGATTTTATCGGTGTGTCGTCAGTAATTTAGTAAACCTGGGAGATACTATGACTAAAGAGGTTGATATAGCTATTTTCTACGTTTTCTTAGTGCTCTACTGTACTTTTTATCATAGTTCAAAAAAGCGCTAGGTGTTAATTGTGCGTTTTGCCACCGCCTCGCGCTTTACTGACCAAAGCGCATGCTTATGTGCAGTTATGCACAGATTAAGCGTAGTTATGCGCAATGCGTTTTGCCAACGCCTAGAGCCTAGGCGTGCTTATGCGCTCGCTTAGGCGCGCCTTTTTTAACTATGCTTTTTATTGCAACTTACCAATGTACTTGTATGCAAGCCCCATTCGTGCTCTGTTTGATTTTAGAACACATTACTGTAAGAAAGATGTCTAATACATCATTAGTCCATTATTGTAGTGCTTGGAGCTGAGAATGGTCGAGGGGAAAAGTGTCCAAGTTGACCTCGAGAAAGGGCTTAATCAAATGCCTAATGATAGCAACTCAACTAGCCCTGCAACTATGCAGAAGATGAAACCTGATATGGATGATTCTGGGAGAAGAACTGAATCACCAACTCCAGAGAAGCCTGAGTTTGGAAGGGAGGAGATTGTTGTCAGCTCATTGGCAACTAATTTACTTTCAGAGAGGTACAAGGACAGATTAGCTGAGAAGCTGTTGGGAAATGAGGATGAAACAGACGATGAAGATGATAATGACATTGCTTTGCCTGATGGCAGCCAATCTCCAGTTTCAAATGAACTTCTTGAGAAGTGAGACATTTTTCTATTTTCATCTCATATATGATGCATCCTTTTGCTGCCTAGCCTTGATTGTCTATTGTTCTTTTTCTAACAATGTCAGACACAAGAATTTGCTTACTCTTTTCAACCGGATGGAGAGTTCTATAAGGTTGCTGCGCCTGAGGAAGAAGATGACTACATTTACCAACATTGCAACCCAGGTGGAAGTACTCACTAAGAGGTATTAATGACAACGAGAAATGTCTGTCTGTAAAATCATTATCCATATATTGGAGTCTGATACGATTGTTCTTCATTGCAGAAAGTTCTTGTACTCTCATTTGGCCCAGATGAAGCATTTATTCCCAGAAGCAATCCAGATAAATAGGATACTCTTGCATGATCAGAAAAGCCTATGCATGTATGCTGACATGGAAATTACACTTCTGAAGGACGCTGTGGAATGTAGTAATCCTCAAGAGTCTCCAGCCATTGCAATGTGTGAGGCTTTTCGCTCAAAGCTTTTATGCTTCTTGGGATCTCATCATAAGGTACTAAACTTGGTTCAACTGCTAGTTTTCCTTTGTTTTTGTATGACACACTCTGTAACTTGCTTGGAGCACCTCAAGACCTCTCAATCGCAGTTCCCAACAGCTTCATCGTCTGTTTCATCCTCAAACTTACTTGGTTCCTTATTTTTATCTCTAATAGTTTTTGCTGTATGACATGTCCTGTAACTTGCTTGGAGCACCTCAAGACCTCTGAACCGCAGTTCCTTATTTTTCATCTTTAATAGTTTTCGCTGTATGACATGTCCTGTAACTTGCTCGGAGCACCCCAAGCCTCTCAACTCTAGTTCCTTATTTTTCATCTCTAACAACCCTTTTTGTGGTCCTGATAATTTTCTTAGCATTCTTGTTGGAATTTTTATGTATGCAGGATATCGATGTTCCTGAGGCCACACTACCAGAACCCTTTAATTTAAGGGAGGAGCTATATCTTGATGCACTGCATAATGACCATTCTGTTGAAGGAGTTCTTGAATTTTCCTCGGAAAATGGATTTTCAAATGCTTCTCACTTCCCACAATCTTTTCAAAAACTTATGTCCCAGAAGAGTATTACTAAAGTTACTGAAAAGACTCGACTACTTTCTGATCCAGTAGAAGTGACCTCCCTGGGTGCTGATGATACCGGAGGTCCAGATAGAAGCTCTAACAAGCATGTCTCAGTTCCAGTCAATACCAATATTTCTGATACTCCAAGCCGCCATTCGATCTCTTTCTGTGAAAACAGTACACCAAAGCAAGTCATCTCAAATTCACCATCGATGGCTGAAACACCGGCAATGCAGACACCAAAAAGGCCATTGCCCACTCCAGTTGCGAAACATGAAACCTCAAGTAGACATGGCTCTGAACCACGATCTACCAATTCAGCCCGCAGATCACTAATAATGTTCTCACCATCAAAGTTTGATGAAAGCCCTTCTGATCGTGATCCTGACACTTCAAAACTTGACAAGGATGGGGTTACTTCTATCACAGAACCTGAGGTTACAACTGGAAAATGCCTTTTCCCAGAAGAAACATTTACTTTTACCGTGGTATGTCACTTTATTCTTATGCCTGGATATATGTGTTTTTGCATATGGGTTAATGCATACTGGAAGATGAATTTCTTAAATGCCATCAGGAATTGCATAACTACATAACAGATATGTTTGCTGCATTCTCATTCATTTAAATTTTTGACTGTGCAATGCATCATATATGTCATTTTGTTCTCATAAACATGATTCTAGTATAAATTGTACCAAATAAACCTCTTAGCGAGTAAGAAGGTTGGCAGTGTACTAAACAATTCTGCAGTAATTTTGTTGTTGAAGTAATGCCAAAAGGTATATTCATTTGCTTTAAAAATTTATGCTTTGAAATTACTCAGCATTAGAGTACTGGTAACTAGCAGTAAAATGCCAATTATCTTGTGATATCATGACCTGAGCTGAGGCACACTGCAGGGTGTAAATGCACTGTGTAAGAAAGAATGTACTTACCTAGTCATCGTTGGTTATTATCTTCATTTTCCATATTTCATGTACTTACCTAGCACCTTACTTGCAGGAAAATGATAACAAAACCAATCAAGTATCCTCGATGAATTCCCAGGAAAAGCTAGATTCTTTACGTGTCACATTCGACATAGTCTGTGGTATCTCTGGATCTACCAAGAATTCACTAATCACTAAGCAGGAACTCTTTCACAATATTCTTGCTAATAACTTGGAGATAGAAGAGACAGGTACATAGTTGATCTAGCTGCTCCAACCTTTCTGTACTCAAATCTTTCTCAAAGCTGTACTTATTGTCCTTTCTCTTTCCCATGTCTGGCCTGTCACTTAACAGGAGAGATAGAAGAACAATTGCATATCTTAGAAGATCTCTCTCCTGATTGGATATCAAAGGAGCTACGTGGTGGAGAAATTCTTTACAGGCAAGCCCCATCTGATGTTTTGTTTATTAGCATAATTTTATGTGTTCTGTAGTTATAAATGTTTTATTGAAGGCATTAAGTATTGACACCGTTTTTTACCCATGTCAGCATTAAGCAAATACCAGATCAGAAGTCAGTTCGGGAAAGACTCACAGAAGTCATTTGAGATGAGACAATCTGTGCAAAGCCGAAGAACCTAAAAAAAGCTGTATGTGCTGATTTCTCGGGATTTGACCAGCATATGGAATCATCTGGATTGCACATCGAGTGCTTTACTGAAATACTAAGCATCAACAAGCACGGATAATTTCTTCATGCTTTTGCTGAATGGAGCACTGAACTCTGGTTGCTTACCATTTGCTGAATGCTGTAACTTAGATGCAACCGTGCAAGAGAATCTCTTGCACGCTGTTTTCTATGGTGTTAACTGTCTTTGGTATCTGCACTGTGACCACTTAAGTTACTCCTGCAAATGTGAATGATGTGTTTGTTATACTTGTTCAGCATCC